TCAACTTAACATCATGCTTTCTAATGTGATATTTGAAAAGATCAGCTGTGGAGTATTTGCTGTGAATGACTATAAAACTACATTTTTCCTCAAATTCTGTGCAATTCCCTGAAGTGTAGCTACTTTTGTGTAACCTAAAGACATTCAGCTATGGTAATATAAAAAGTAAGTTAGTTTGTGTTTGGTAGAAAACACAAACTTCTTTGTGGTGCCACAYTTGTAAGGAATATGTATCTGTGGGATGAACAGTAGAGCTCAGTMTGTGGGTTGTGCACATGATAAATTTGCCAAATCTTCTCTGCCATTCAGTTTATTTTACTTGTTTTGAGCTTTACCCGCAGGTGCTGATATAAGATTTATTGCCAAAAGGTTTTGTTACTACAAAATATGATCTACCAAATACAAAGTTGTGTATTTTATATGCTAAGTATATTTTAAATCGAGTCAGCTTCAACAGGGAATCGGATGTAGATATCAACAACTTTTAATGACTCTTTTACTGCTTACTCAGTGAAAGAGTCATTAAAACTTTGTTCAGTGGTTTATGAGATATTTTTCTGACACTACAGACAAACACAGACATGAGCGTTTGCGTGTCTGTGTTTCACTTTCAGTAGCAGGCGAAGAGAAATACGAAAATAAAGACAACCAAACCGATTCAACCTATGATCAAAGTAAGAAAAAACCCAGTTGCGTAAAAAAATAGACTCAGATGCAGTCAATTCTTTTGCTCCAAAGCCCCCCACCCCTTTGTGACATGCTGAGAGACTTTTCACCTCGGTCACTGCAGAGACCAAACCYTGAGCAGCTTTCCTCAAAGAAAGACACAACAGCAGAAAGACGATGGATCTTTTCCAAGTTGGCAGGCAGGCTGGCAGCACAAGGTCATCAGTCTGGACTTCTTAGTCACCTTTAGCACCGTCCAGACCCTCCAKGTGGCAAACAAGCTCACAGAGATGCAGATGGACACCCTGATGGTGTCAGGTATGATGGATTATCTCACTGTCAGCTTTCGTTGGGAAGCCTCAAAAAGAGAGAGAAAACGTCTCAGTGACAGTCAGTCAAATGCGAGTCAGCAAASATTCCAACTTGTTGGGTTTTGTGGATTTTTGTCTTATTTTATGAAATGCTTTTCATCCTGTTTGCTCTTGCTTGATTAAAGTTTTTTAATTGATTTGTTTCAAAACTCCAGTTTCCTCTGCACAYCTGACTTCATTTCAGATGCGCAAATACATGAAGCAAAAGCAAAAAATATCACAAAAAAAATTCATCAAAGAAATCAATTAAACCTAAATGAGCTCTAAAAAAGGCACTCAAAGAAACAACAAAGATGAAGATAAAAGGGTTTGATTCTGCTGACGTGTTGCGTTGTTATTTCATCACTTTTCATAACGACGATGTGATTCTCTGCTCTTTATTAGGAGTTGATTTATAAAAATAAGAGGGAATTCATGAATGGATGAATGTTGTGTTCATACTGTACATGTTGCTGAATCATTTGTAGCTATTGCATCATCATTTGCAACACAGTTTCTATTTTTTAACAGAAAAATCTGCTAAAGATTTAGACAGATTTAAAACCTGGCTGTGTTGTGCCATCAAAGATGGTGTGAAAGTTTTATTTATGTTTGGATAGCAATATGATAAAAAATAGACAAGTGCATGTAGTTTCAGGATTATTAACACCCAACAAAAGAGGAAAACAGCCCACGTCCTTAAGCACCTATGTTCTCAGGAATCTTGTGTGTTACAGTAAGTTGGGTGATAAATTTAATGTTTTCAAACAAGACAAAAAAACATCTATTCAAGATAGAAACCGCATCTAATCTAAACATTTTTAGGAGAAAAAAAATCCGTGCTCTGATATAGTTTAGTTTCTGATCTTCACGATTAATCCCTGTATACATGCAAACATGCAGGAGGACACATTGCAGCTTTCCGCATAAATTATGCAAAACCTACATTTTTTTTGCTTCTCTCAAACCAGTCATAACAAGATATTCTATTTTTGAACCTGAATATTTGATAATTTGTTGGTGTCAGAGCTCCTGGATGCTCTAACTCAGCTGTAAATCGAAGACAGAACACATGTTTAAGCAAAATTTAATGTCAAGATTTAGCCTGATTCTTTAAGCTCCTGTAAAACCCTGTTCTGTAAAACTGAGGTGTGCGAGCTGAAACAGAGTTGTTTGATTTATAAATGGTTAAAGGGGCCAAAAGTGTGCAGAAGATTTCAAAAAATGGAAAAATTAAAAGAACAGTCGAGACAAAGGTCACGACGTTTACTCATTGTTTTCTGCAGTGATTGATAAAACTTTGTTTTACTGTGATGCTGTTTTTTCCCCCGACTTTCTGTGTCCCCAGAACCTAAAGGTGTTGAGGCAGAGAGGATTTGTCTCCTCAGTTTTCACTGATCCAGCAGTTCACCCTCAAACATCCTGTAAACGACCTCCACTTACACAGAGCCCATCGACCGCTTCTGTCAGGCAGCTCACTGTATATGTGCTGCCAAAGTCAGAAACATGGGAGAAAGTCACACATAYGGTCTGTACGGGCCCACAGAGGGGCCCCACTGAGATGCTGTTTGTGGTTAGCTTTATTTCACTTTGCTCAGTTTGGGTGAACAGAAAAAAATCAGAAGAAACGTAAACAGGTTTATACATTTACAGTCAAGGATAAAAAAAAGACACAATATAAAACATTTTTTACTTTCACTGCAGAGAAATTATATAAAAAATGGAACATAGAGAGCAGATGAGTGTATTATTAATAAGCAATGCTGCCACCTGCTGGACAAACTGACTACAAGAGAACGTTCTTCATGAAGGTTGTCCTTCACTTGGAGGGTTAGTGATTTGTCCTTGTG